ATACATTATCATACCTTACCTGTTGTCACTACCTGTTTCCACTTTAAAAGTTTGATCTTTACAAATGTTACGTTGTAGTATCTCTAGGGCTAGGTTGATCAAACTCTCTTACTTTATAGGGTAGCAGGAAGAAAATAAGTAAAAGACAAGACTCAGATACATATATTTCAAAATTCCATGTTACTGATTTGGGGAGGAGAGAGAATAACTTTGATGGTTCTGCATAATAAGGGATGCAAAATAGTTGTGTGTAGCAGTCTTACAAAGAAACAAGAGCATGTTTATTATGAAATTAATGATGAAATTTGGGTATGGTGGGTTGAAAATGTTGGCTTGCAAGTTGGTGATGACTTGGAATTGAAACTGACAGCCCCTTATATATATATATATAGGAGTTTAAGTTTTGCAGGACATATTCTGAATATTCCATTATTAGCCACAAAGATGTCAAATTTAGGTGTCTGAATTATGGTAAAATTTCTTGCAATGAATGGAAACTGCAAAATCCTTGCATTAATAGCACGTTTGGTAATAAAAACCATCTGTCAGAAACGTGTGAAGACATGGATCGATCAAGATAAGATTAAAATGAATAAGCGCGTAAAATGGTATACATATATATAATCAAATTACATAAGTGCAAGTTATGAAATATTAAAAAGGAAATTATACAAAACATAAATTTTATTGTTATAAATTTGTTAAATAATAATATCATATCATTATTGAATATTTATATTTAAATGATATCCAACTTTAATATATTTTAAGAATAGGTTATATATTTATGATTTTGATCAAGTATTATGATTTTGCTAGGATTAATTTTCCTATTTAAGGTATTGTCTAATTTAAAGTTTGATAAATTTTTCATGATTTTATTTTTAAAATGGACGAGGAAGGTTAAGGAATTTATATAAATATATATAAATTGATCGTAACTTTAATTTTTAAGTAATGTAGAACAATTAGATATATAAGATTAAGACAATGTAAAAAGGTTTATTTAGGGTCGATCACTTTTGAAATATTATTTATTTTATAATTCAATGACACTATTATTTTAAGATAATCTCACAACAAAAATTTCGTATATATGATTCATGTAATATGAACTTTCAATGTAAATGGGAGTTTTAAAAAATAAATTAGTCGAGGGATATTAAATTATGTAATATTGTGTAAGTTATATGATGTAATTTTATTGATCTTATATTCAACACTTTTATTAGATTCTTAATTTATGTATCTCTTGAATGTTAATCTTCATCTTAGCAAGTTTTCCTTAACAAATTGAATTTTCTATATTCGTTGGGAAAATCGTGGATGAAATCAATATCTTAGTACAACTTTAACTAACATAAATACCCCGACTTTACTTATCTTTTAGATGTGTAAGCAATGCCGGTGGGTGTTGATTCTTACAAATTGGATTTAGTTATATATTTAAACCTTTTCCTTGATAAAATCAATTTTCATTTGTTTAAATACTTCCTTTCATGTATATGCATGCGTCAATATTTTGTTTACAAGACAAATTGGGATTTCAAACGCGTATAATAACGTGTTCATCAATCCTGATTTAAAGGAATATATTCGATGTAAATAAAAGTAAATGCCTTAACGTATATTGTTATAGATAATTAATATTACTATTAAGAGTAATATTTTTTTTATCATTTTAAGTTGATTGTGTCTTTATTAATATTTAAAACTTCCAAACATTTGTCTTTCTATTTTTTTTATAGTAAGTCATAATTTTATAGTTAACATATCTAAACTAGTAATTAGTAAAAGGAAAATGTTGTTTTAACAATTTTTTTTATAACTTTTTTATAATATATTGGTTTGTGATTTATCTGTTTCAAATATTTTTCTAAAAATAAATTTAAACAGACTAATAAAATAGTGACATGTAATCTATTGTCAAAAAATTCTTAAAAAAATTGTTAACATATCAGGTTCTTAACAGAAAGAATAAGAAGCTATAAATCATAGCTGTAAACAACATTTTTTCACAAATGAATGCAAATGTAAAATTAATTTTTGAAACATTTGTTTTACTCCAAAGAATATTTTTTGTTAATCAACAATTTATGTTAGTGAAAAAGTTAAACTTATAATTTCTCTCATTCTCATTTTCTATCTTGTCATCAAGTAAATTTTATAACTCTTTCAATATTAGTGGGAAAAATTAAACCTATTACGTCTCTCAACCACTTGGGAGACTCTGACATGCATGGAGGCAATTCCTATTTGTCCTTGTCAAAATAGGAAGAATGTATTTTTCATAACTGCAAATGTCTTACATAAAGGTGTGTAGAATGGTTTTAACTGATTTGTTTTTGCTACCTTTGTTTATTTTTTATTTGAATGAATGCTTAGTTATTTTCTTCACCTTCAGTGTCTTACCATGTTGGAAGATAGGGACTGAGAATGAAAAGAAAAGACATATAGACACTGACGATCACTTGGTGTCCGTTTTCAAAAAGCATTATAGGTTGTAATATTTCTGCCTTGTCCTTCAAGTGGTCACAACAAAGGCTTGCATTTTGAGTAATGTTCAAAAATAACACAACCATATGGTCTTTTGTAGTGAGAATCTGTCTCTGTCTATGTCTCTTTCCCTGGTCCCTTTTGTTGTTGGTATTGATAAATATGATAAATGCACAAGAGTTTCTACCAAGTTGAAGACTTCGATATCGGGAACACAGGTTTGTACATCACATTCTCTATAGCTGTCATCTCATCTTGTTCATTTTCTCAGAAAGGTTGGTTGGTTTTGAAATTACTTTATGTGTTGTTTAAAGAAACATGCATTTTGATCATGTTTACTATAATGAGTTAAAAGAAAACCATCAAATCCCCAAGTGTAAACAAGCAATAGGTCATAAAATGTTTGCATTGGCAAAGTTCTTATATATAGCAGTTTATGTTTTTTGGAAGACAATATCTTGTATTTGAACCTTATGTATATGTCTGTAACGTTAATTTTTGTCTTACCCAAGTTTTCGTTTACAAATTGAATTATCTATGTACTCACTGGGAAATTTATGGAAGAAATCAATAGCTTAGTACAACCTTAACCAACATAAACACTCCAATTTTACTTATCTTGTAGATACGTATATGCAATGAAGCTGCGTGTTGATTCTTACTAATATTTCAAGCTTTGCCTTTATAAAATCAATTTTTCATCTGTTTAGATACTTCCCTTTATGTATATAGTACTTCAGTGTGTTTTGTTCTACGAGACAAATTGGGATTTCAAACGCATAGATGTATTTATCAATCTACACTTTATTCACTTGAATATAGATTTGGAAGAGACTTATTGAATGAATTTGAAAGGATTTGAAGGTAAATTTTGTTGTTGTTTATTTGAGTGAATTTGGAGGTAGATGAGAGAAGATTTGGAAGTAAATTTTTTTAATATGTCACATCAATCAAATCGTACACTAATTCTCAGAAGCTTTACTTCTAAATTCACTCCACTTATTTCTAAATCCACTCAAATAAACAACAAAAAGTTTACCTTCAAATCCTCTCAATTTCATTCAATCACACTCTTCCAAAAATTTATTTAATATTAATAGTAAGAGTAATATTTCTTTAATCATTTTAAGTTGATTTAATCTTGAAAACTTCCAAATATTTATCTTTCTCTTTTTCTAATAAGTCATAATTTTTTATCTTACAAATTAATCAGTCATATGTGAATAAAGATATTTTCATTTCTGATTATTTACTCCAATAACACTTAAAATATAAAACCTGGTTATGAAAAAAGAAGTTAAATAATTTATTCTGAAGTAGAAAATGTATTTGATGTTAAATAGATTTTCTATTCAAAGTGGATCAAGGAAGTACATGTTTTGTGTGACTGAAAAACGATTTAGAAATTTCCTATTATGATTTGTATAATTTGAATTTTCATATAGTTTCAGAAATTTAGTTCTTTTTTGTTTATTATGTTTATATGCGCTGAACTTATATATTAGTTTATTAATGACTAATATAATTATGAGACTGATAACATTAATATTAATGTATTCATTCATTTAATACATTGTCGGACGTCCAAGAAACAAGTAAATTTGACACACGTTGTTTAAATATAATTATTTATCATGAAACTAAGTTAATTTTGCTTTTAAAAATAATTATAATGAAAGATATGTTTATCCAACTTACCTAATGTTAGCATCTATATTCTTTTTTATAATATATATATATATATATAACATAAAAGAAACACTATGAAAAAAACATTTTATGACTATTAAAATTCTATTCAGAAAGAAACATATTTTATAATGGTTATAATTTTAGCCGTCGTAAAGAAAACATGAATATGACAAATTTTAATATTTTTTCTATGATGCGTCTTTTAAAACTGTATTTATGATGATTACACAACTGTCATAGAAAGTTTAGATTTTCTATGTTGTATATATTTATATTATTTGTAAAATCATAATAAAAAATTATTTTAACGGTCAATTTTTTTATTACATTAATGATTCATGAGATTGATTTATTCGTAATTATTCATATTCTTTTGAAATACATTTTATGTCAAGTAATATTACAACAATATATTATGTATATTTGCACATTATATTATCCAAACTGTTATAATTAACTCATATCGTGATTTAAAATAAATTATTTAAATATTAACTTAGCATATACAAGAGTTTTTTTCTAAAATATAGTTCTATAACATATTTTAGTTATGTTAACAAAATTATAAATAAATTAAAAATATGTTAGAATTTAAATAATAAGAATAAGAATGGTTTATCCTAGAATATTTGGGAGAGAGAGCAGAAAAAGCCTATGGAATTACTGAAACTGCATAGTATTTCTTCATTGGTGGAAACACCAGAGACAGATATAAAAAGTTGTAGAACATATAAAGTAAATCTTATTGAGAAGGAGATGGAATTATATGAGCCATCCCTTGAATATTTTGGACTTGATCTAGAACATATGAATCAAACACCAGCAAACACATCAACTGCATTATGGTCATGAGTTGAAACAAAGTGAGTGATAAACTCTCCATAATTAAATGGACGATAACGAAGAGGATGAATTTTCTCATCAACCAACCCACGAGGCACCTCAATCTTCATCTCGTCCTTTGGTGCCACAAAAACTCCAAAAGTGTATCTCTCTTTCTCTCCACTCATTATCACTCTATGTGTCGCTGCATGAAGCCTTCCGTTGCTCCATGCCTGTTCATTAACAAGAATTTCAATTCATTATAATGTAAAAATTAAGTACCCAATAGCTACAATTTTCTACATACCTTTAAAGTATCACCAACAATAACCACAAAGCAATTCTGGGGTACCACTATGTCAACCCATGTGCCTGTTTTGGATAGCACCTGCAAACCCTGAACTTCATTTTCGCACAAAATGGTTAAGGTGTTTTTATCTGTGTGACCGTTGGATTTATCCTTGTCTGCAGTATTGTTTTTGTCGGTAATGTACATGTTCAATCGTACGTGGCTACAACTCTTCATGTTTTCAACATCTGAAATGTGATGCTGGGAAAGGCCATAACCCTCCACAATCATTTTCAAGATCATCGAGCTTACTTCTGACATCTTTAAGCTCATACCCTTCAGTGTCTCACTGCATAAAATACACACGTTTAATGAAATTCATTCTATAATTTTAAAAAGACTAACTAAACCGATGCATTGAATGTAAGAATGAATACCAAAAATGTGGGTTTCCTTGAGGCCACATGAGGTTGGCTAAGGTGTCCACAGATGTTGAGAGAAGAACATCATCGAGTCCAAAGCTTTCATAGTGAGTGTGCATAAACTTATTGACGTTGAAGCTACTAAAAGGTTTTGAAACGATGTGTTGTTGCTTTGTTTGTTGAGGCAAACGAAACAATTCTTCCATATTCTTAAACAGCTCTTCGCGTGCACCTTTGGAGTTTATCTCATCACACCTCAAGAGGAAACAACCATCACTCTCACATGCTTCTCTCACTTTCTTGCTCATCTCTTTCCACTCCTCACTCCCTTCCTCTACTGTCTTTCCACCCTTCCACAAATCAAAACAACAAATCATCATATTCTCTCTTTATCTCTCTCTAGATGTGATTTCTCCTTTTACAATTTCCTCTTGTACAGTTTAACAACTGAGACTTATAACTATATATATAGCTGGATACTAATTTGCAAGCATATCATCAAGGACACATATTTTAACCATTTTTTAATTAGGATCAAAAAACAGTTCATACCTACAAACATGTTACACCTAGGTTGAATTCAATATACATATAAATTGTGATTTTTCTAAAACCTGATAATATATTAAATCATTACAAAAAATACAAAGATACCAAAATTTCAATTAAAAATTAAAGGAATATATTTCTTGTAAAGAAAAT